CATGTCAAGTGAACACGACAGAGCTGTACTGAACTGTATATTCAATCCTCTGTTGCCAGTGGGTGAATTGGTATATGAGGAAGAATTGCCTAATGATATGCAAGGTTCGTTGTTGCTGAATGCCTTCTCATGAGAACGGCCAGACAAATATTACAGGGCAGAACCGCGAACCATTTCCATAAATCATAAGAATGTTTCCATTTTAATGTTTTCCTCATATCTATGCCTGTCATCCAAGTGGCCACATCTCTTCAGGTTTTCAGGCCAAACATTTTGTAAACAAACATGTTTTTTCAGATATTGAAGATAGAATAACAGATGTAGAAGAAGCTAAGGGTTTGGAACTTGAAGGTGTGAAGGCTGCAGAATCAGGGGACCTTGATAAAGCTGTAGGACTGTTTACAAGCGCAATAAACATAGCACCAAACTGGGCATCAGGGTACAACAACAGAGCTCAGGCTCACAGACTTAAAGGAAATACTCCAGGTAAGAAAGTCACATACCTGTAGCCTAGTGATCTTATATGTTTTTGTGTTTAGTTTATATGCCTCTCCCACAGTTATCCATGGATCAGACATATGAGATATAACTGTACATTCATATGTACTTAATTGTTTTCATGTGTGTGTCACCCATACATTTAGGTTAATGCTGTGCATATACACATAGTTTTAAAAGTTGCTAATTAAGACATAGATGTAGAAGTTAGAAATATAGTCATGGAGTGAATATAAGCATTCATCCATATTCATGAGGAATACTTCTGTAAATGTATCTATACAGCCAGTAATGAACTGTATATTATCTTTTTCATAGCTTTCATATTTGTAACTATGTTGCTGTTTTCAGATACATGCACAGAAAATACTGTGAAAAATAATATGTTAAACTTTGCAAAATGTTGTCACCTCTTTTATTCTTTGTAATGTTCAATATCAAACCTAATATATATATATATATACATATACACACACTGTCATATCTTAATGTTGAAAGTATGGTGGTTTTTAGCGGCTGTTGCTGATTTAAATGAAGCTATCCACCTCAGTGGAGGACAAGGCAGATCGGGATGTCAGGCATTGTGTCAACGAGGTATCATGAACAGAAAGGAAGGCCTCGTTGACTTGGCGAGAAAAGATTTTGAAGCTGCTGCCAAACTTGGTAGTCATTTTGCAAAGATGCAGCTTGTTGAACTAAATCCTTACGCTGCACTCTGCAGTCAGATGTTACATGATGTAACGGGAAAACTCCAACAGACTGGACAGAAATGAAAAATAGTAGGATCTACATTAAGGAACCTATTACCAAATGCTTAACTGGAATTGAGTTCTTATAATTCCTACTACGTACTATGCGCGTATGCATAGACTGCGTTCTTAACAACAGACCTCCTCCTGGGTCAGGTATGTCTGGTGGTGGTATAAAATTATGTTATTCTTATGCGATTGATTTGATTCTGATTGACATATCTGCTGTAAAGCACTTACAATTAAAACCATAGGATGTACACATAATAACACTGCTTCCTGTGGCCAATTGATGTACTACTGGAAAGCATTGTAGTGACTCATAACCGTGGTCAGAACTCAGACAATAATAAAGGTGCTGGAGATACTAACTGAAATTTAAAGTTGGTTGTGGTCTTTGACACTAAACATGGTGGTGGTACATTTTTCTGAAATGTTATTAACAGCATAACAAACCAGAACATGATTGCACTGATTCCAGGCCTCATAATCAACAAAACTATTTCTGGACACTAAAATTATTACTCTTTAAAGATATTTTAATCATAGCTGTAAGATTATTTTTGTTTTTATAGGAAGAATACCTTGATTGTGGCAAGTGAATGCAGTTAACAGCTTACTAATCACTTTCCCCTCTACTTTACTGGTACAGCAGCTTTCTGAGGTGGGAGCAAACAAAAGGCATATTCTGTCCTGTTCTCACCGACAAGAAGACTGTGAGAATGACGTCCGGCAGAGATTACCAGGTTAACATGGGTTTTCAGACCACAGTGTGGTGTGGTATTCTTCATGTTCCCGAAATCCAAGCTTTGGTAAAAACTGAAGGCATGGCATTTCTGCACCTAAATCTCACTAGGATCTGAATCTAGAAACCTCTGAATGGGATACCATTTCTTCATACCTAGATGAGCAGGCCCCATATTAGAACATATTGGTAATGCAGATGTCACAAAATAAGAAAATTTTATGTATGGGCAGGGGTGGAACATTCATGTTACCTATCTTACCCCAGATGACACTTTGAATAACAAAAAGTAGAAGGTCTTCTGTCTTATTTGTGTAGTTCAGTGGTACTCCGTAGACTGGAACATCACAGAACTGATCAGATAAAATGTATCGTTAGAAGCAAGCTCACTTGGCTGGCTGGAAATGGTAATCATTGCATTTTATCTGATCATTCCAATGTACTAAATCGCAAAAGTAGAACCTTTTATTTTTTGTTTCCCAAAATGCTTGCCAGCAAACACAGTTAACACATATGCTCCGTCCCTGTGTACAGGTTGTGTTCCATGCACAGGTCATAATTAAGCTGTTCAATGTTCCTGCTCACCTTGGATGTATTTCAGACCTTGTAAAAAAAATTATATAAAAGCTCATACTTTTCTGATACACAAGATTTATTATAACTGGTACAGATCGATGACAAGACAAAACAAAATCTGCATCACTCAGACTTTAAACAGCCATATTAATGGACATTACTTTGGCTGACAAAACAGTTACATATTGCATATACTTTTAAGATCTGCTTTGTATCAACATATGCTGAGATGCATCTACATATATATGTACATACATACAGTATTTATAATCTGATGGGAAATATGTACCTATGCAGAACATAGTGCCTTTGATACCTGATACACTGCTCATATTATGTAAAACATGTCATCTGTGTATTGCAACATTCTATTTGTATAATGTAAACCATTCTGAAAATAAAGAAGCTGTTTAAATTATACCTTATGCATTTTTGTTGAACACGCTGTTCTAAAGCCCAAAGTAAAATGCTAAATTTACCTGCAACATTTCATAATAATTTGAGAAGCAGGGTTTTACCCAATGTTTTCACTCGTCGAATATGGAAATATCTTAGTGTGCAATTTCATGTAACAACTATGGTTGTCATCACACAGAACATTTTCAGTGCCATTATTTTCTGAAAGATGAGTATTAAAACAGTTCATACCACTGAATCACGCCATTTGTAAGTACCACAGATCTCTGGTGTAGACAGTATTGTCTCCTATACAAGCCACTGGAATGGCTCGCTGTGTGATCACAGCCTTGTTTAGATAGATTCTTTACGTAGCACCCGAAATTATTTTGTAAAGTAGTTTGCTATAAAAATATTATAACAGACATTCTTCATGTGATAATGTACCAGAATAGAACAAGAAGCATAAATTGAAGATTCAGAAAAGCGCGAGGAAAGCAAATGTCAACTTATTAACCACTAAACAGTTTAACAATCATAACGTCAGAAGAGGTTTGTAGTAAACTAACAATATTAAGATATATGCAAGAAAACGTTTATGGTAATTTCATTTTGGTAAGATAATTCAAGTATCAACAGAAATAAAAATAAAATTTACATCAGGGTAAAACTTCTGCAAGGCATCTCATTTGTAAACTGCAAAATCAAAGCCAATAAACTTTGTTTTAACCTTTGTCTATATTAACTGTAGCTAATGGTTAAACATACTTCTTACCAAAAAGTGTTAAGAGTCTACCTCCTCCCGTTCTACCATTTCAAAGTCCTTTCCTGTCTGAGACTTCTGGCTGTTTTCTGATTCACTCTCTGAATTGTCCACGCCCTTTTCCTGTACAGCTTTCTCTTCAGAATCTGGTGGCCTGGTGATGGCAGTCAACACAAAATGTTAATTTTAATCATCTGATGCCACAAATAACACTAAACTTTGTAGGATTTGAGGTTTTCATGGCGGTGAGTCAGAAGATGGGCTTCTTCTGGGTTGCTGCGGTAGAAGTAGAAGTTTACCAACGTTTTAGAGTTCCTTGCTGCCTCCATCATCGCCCTGATGAGGGAGACAGCAAGGACTTTGATAAACTTATACCAGACTGCATGGCGCAACAACCCACAAGACGGCCATCTACTGTAAACTGCACTTACGTAGTCACATATGTAATAATATGTTAATACAAAACAAACAATTCTACTATCAATGTTAACAAAATGGTGACCCTACAGACATTTATTTTTTTATGTAATCACCGTTTTCAATGCATTTCGTTTCTTGTTCACATCATGGAAAAGAAAGCCTTCCTCAGTGGAGAAATGACACATATTAGATACAAGATGAATTCCAACAGAAAAAAAAATTCTCTGGACCTAAAATGGGTCACTATGAAGAGTAGGAAAAAGTACAGTTGTCCTGCTATATGCCATGCATTATGAAGAGGCAGAATTAAATATTAACTTTTACGTCTTAATGGCAGTGAGTTCTGATCCTGGTAATTTAAAACCCATAAAATAAATGCTACAATTTCATGTTATAAGGGAAATTTTTAAGAAACAATGTAAATATTAAACTGAACCTGGAAATAAATTAAATGATTACATTATACAGATTTTACTTCCTGCTTCTAGGTTATTTACCTATCATCTTCAGTTTTGTTAGCATCCTCTTTCTCTGTCCCATCTCCTTCCAAATTTTCTTCTTCATTGTCAGAATCTTTCTCTTTCTTCTTCTTCTTTGTAGACTTTTTCATTTCCTTAGTATTTCCACCTTTATACTCATACTGCAAACGAATTATACGATGATCTAATCACTAAATGAACAACCTAGAAATCGAGAGACTTCAGTTCTGGGTAAGTAAGAAGTAACCATTAACTAAGGCATGAAATGATGTCAAGTAGCAAGAAATTCTATCGCAACAAAATTTGTATGATGGAAACAAAGCTGCATAAAGGGCGTTATGATCACCATTCTTAGCGGGCCCATGGCTAGTGATAAACCCCACCTGACCAACATTTGTTAATTATATAGACATCAGAAAGAAATAAGTGAAGTTCCCTGTACTGATTTACCTGATATATAGGCCAAAATGAGGCCAGAAACCCCACATCTTCTGCGAGGTTAGGGAAGAGCCAGAAATGATGTTTACCAAAAGTCAGCGCCCAAAGGGCAAAGAACAGAACGAGCCGAACAGCTGCCAATGCAATTATGAACAGGAGGAATCCTGCTGCAGCTATGCTCAAATAATAAACTCCCTTCCTGTAACATGACAGTAAATTAAAATCAAAGCCGATGAATAAGACAGAGTGTCCCATAAAACACTTATTACCCGAACTCTGCTACCTTGGTCACTGTATAACCACAGCCAGTTCAGTAAGTCCACTGAGATATGGTTTCGTCAATGGAATATAATAGAAAAATGTATAATAAAAATTGAGTAAATATCCATAAAGACATAAAAATGAGATATAAAAAAAACCATCGAACCAAATCATGAATATATATAATCCAAGAAAACTGATATGTTAAGACACTCGAACTGGCATGATTAAACAATACCTGCCTACTGCTAGTGTCCTCTATGAAAGTAAATAGGAATCACACATGGAAATAACAGATACAAAAAAAGAGAGGAATTTTCTTGAAGCTGTTGAAGCCAGTCTTCGGTCACACCGTCCCGTCTGTCACAACGAACGCACGGACATATTTGTTCATCCATTTCTAAGAGCTGCTACTATTCATCTTTGAATTCTTTCACACATTAATGACAGAAATCCTATCCTCATTAGGAAAAGTTTAATTCCCTATTTCTTTAAAATTCAAGTTCATGGTTTTGATGAATCTGTGGGCAGTTTTTATTTGTTTATACATTTTGGTCCCTTCTCTTACCTTACAGATGGTGGCCATAATGGGAAGAGACAAATTGCAATGGCTCCTAGAACCAGAAGAGTGCCAAAGAACCAATAATAGACAGGAATAGGATCATAGATCCATACATAAGCATCTAGACCATCAACAAACAACTGCTCTAAATGCATTTCAAGTCTGATTTTGCGCTTCTTTTTATCCTTTTCTTCCTAAAACAAAGAAATTACAGCAATTTACACACAGGCGACTTCCGAGGATACAGTCACATCAGAACCCTGAAGATGGGGACAGAGTTTGTTCCCAAAATGTCGGTTTACTACGGTAACCAGTTAACGTGGCTGATTGCCCAAGAAAATTTTATTGATATTGTAACGTGGGTCGGCGTTGCAACCTTGGATTGTCAACCCTGATTTATTCACGTCTGCTGCCCCGAATCTGATTTTCCGACTGAATACTTGGTTGGATTGTAAGAGACCAATGTCCTCCAGCAATTATCAATTTAATCACGTCTTTTACAACACAAAAATGATCTACTCTACAACACACTTCACCTACGAGCGATTCACAGCTCAGCTATCTTCGCACTTTCCTTCCACACTCTCAGTCGGCTTTTAAACGAATGCAACAATGTCTATGCAACATAAAACACTCTCTCTTTCCAAATATACAAATACAACAATGTCATTAAACAGACACAATTATAAATGAATACAATGGCTATAAACAAATACAACAATGCCAAAAGCAACAATGTCTATAAATAGACAACAATACCGAATACGACATAGTTATGCTGCTCTCAAGGCAACACGTCACAATATAATCAAATTAATCAGTTCCATTCATATAAGAACTTCATATTCTTACAAGTGGCTGCGTGCTTTTATGAGATTTGAATAACACATTGTGATAAAACTATATGCTCTATGACTTACAGATGGAACAACTTGCTTGTCATCTTTCTTTTCTCCTTCGGCATGGCTACTCTCAGCATCTGCATCGCCCTTGTCCTCCTCCTTCTTGCGTTTCTCGTCTCCTTCGCGTTTTCTGTCTTTCTCCTTCTTCTTTGACTTCGCTTTCAGCTCCTGCTCTGACACAGGAACTTTCTTGGCTCGGTGAAAAAATTTGTGTCTCAGCATCCTAAAATGTTATTACATGATGACAAAATGTGTCGGGAAAAGTCGCTCAATTCAAAACGGATGTTGAAAATAATCTACACCTTAGAAATATATTTAAAGTAAATAAAGGATAGCATTTGTCAGAATACAATTATCATAATGAATGGTCTGTGATAGTTACTCCGACTCACATAAATTACACAAGTTCTTCTTTGGAAAAAAGAGACTTAAAATATAATTTAACTCTTCCAATGGTAAAAGTAACTGAACAAACTTATGTTACCAGCACTATTTCGGAACCAAACATGTAAAATCCCCAAGAAATAAGTTAATGAGACCGTGATTTAGGTTGTCATAACTGAAATCAATGAATAATGCAAATTAAATGGAACATAAACAAAGCTGGAACCTGTAATACACTTAAAGCTTGAAAAATGCTTTAAAACTATTTAAGAGAAAGAAACCTACCTGTCAAGAAATTCAACCACATCAGCCCTTGAAGCAAACAATGATTCATCTCCCTCTTTAGGATTAGCCCAGTGAGTTTCCATGAGAGCATCCACAGCTTTCACAGCTATCAACAGACAATGTAATAAACTTACCAATTCAAGAGTAACACAAATAAAGTGTTGGATAATTCTAACAAATTACAAATACGTAACTAACCAGTGAAGTATTCCACATTATGATTTAAGAATTTGGTTTTCTTTGTTGGTACATTTTTACGCAGCCATTTTGCAATAGTATATTCTTCTCGGGTTGGTTTATCTGGTTTTTCAGAAACAAATTCCTGAAAACATAAGTAAAGTTATGCACAAATATTATAAGTAAAACTACCCTTAGACCTAGCATATATTACTGTTTCCTGACAAGTGCGGCATTATGACTATGACAAATTAGTTACACTACGAAACTTTACGATAGAAATCAATGCCACAATTTTTCTCTGCATTACAACCACACTAAGTAAAATGTGTAAATTGCACTCCTCATCCTCTGTACCCATCAAACCTTACAACTAATGTTAACAGGTTGCATAAAACTCCCGTTATGTTGAACGCCTGGTAATATTTCAACAGATCGTCCAATATCTACAATTTCAGTTGGATAAATTACAGAAAATTGTAATCTAATTAGTTACAACATAACTTATATGTAACTGTTACATAAATTATTTTAATGTTTATAATAGAAAGTTGCGATTGTCATGACAAAATCACGAAGTCGCCAACGTCACTCGTTCCTGGGCCAACATTTCATAAAATTAACAACATTAAAATGTAAAAGATTTGCCTATAAAACATCTTCATAAGTACACATACAAATTATCAATAACAAAACCACAAACATGCACTATGCTCACGTCAAATTAGCACAAATTTACCTCCTTCCGCCTCTTTCCTTTTCTCTTCTCAGCCATCTTGTCAACTACTAATTACATCATGTGAGTAATAAACTAGAAAGACTTATCAAGAAATTGATACTGTAATGTTTAAAACTAAAAGTATACGAGAATTGTTAGTTTAAATCAAGCCTTTGTTATACTTTCGAAGATATCCTACGAACTTTTATGTTATAACATACATGACTTTAGTTGAGATATCAGCAGACGATGTGGTTTTGAACTGTGATGTAATGAGTGTATATCTGTGAATCACGAATGAGCTAATTGTTTATAAATAATGTTTTAAAGAGCAAGTATAAACTAAAACCTAATGGCATTATACAGCTGTTTATATACTTTATGTTTCAGATAGGTCTGTCAAGCAGTGCGTTTTTTTTCAAATCTTGCTGTGTAATAGTATAATGTAGCACTCTATTCTTACAGAAATAAGTCATACAATGGCTAATGTTCTTAAGATGCATGGTATATCAAATATTAATGTAATGGCATCACAACTAAGAGCTGTCACAGTTCAAAAACCGAATCTGTGTAATTCAGCAATTTGTCTGATGACTGTCAAACGTATCTTCAACAATTCTGGAGACAAAGAGAATTACTCGGTAAATAAGCATGAATTTTAAAACATAAAGTTTACATTTTACAGTGTGCTGTTTTGGTTGCTGTTATCTCTCGACTCCTACAAATTTCTCCTATCAACCTGCCCGAACCCAGAACATATGTTTATTATTCACAAATGTTTAAACCATTTTTTTATTTATTTTGTCTGTATGGATGTACTTAACCACTTGTGAAGCTCCTCATTGTGCTATTTTATGTCTTTTTTTTCCCTTTCGGATGACAGACATAGCGTTTGGTAAGTTGAGAATTGTTCATCTTCCTGTCTAAAACATAAAGATTAAATCTGTCATTTTTACCTACTGTATTGTATGGATATGAAACTTTGTCTCTTCCTTTAAGGGAACAACATATATTGTGTTTGAGAACATAGCACTGAGGAGATCAGTTGGACCACAGAGGAAGGAAGCGACATCATGATGATGAGGGGAACAGCATAACATGGAGCTTCATAATGCATGTGTTTCAGTAAATATCTGTAATATGATAAAATTTGAGAGGACGAAATGGCAGAGCATGTAACGTGTATGAGGAAAGATGAAACATGTATTCAAAATTTAGGCAAACCTGCAAAAAATACCACTTGGGAGACCTAGGCACAACTGGGAGTATAATATTGAAATATATCTTAGAGAAGCAGGATGTGATGATGAGGACTACATTCATCTGGCTCAGGAGAGAACTAATGGATTGTTGTAAACAGTAATGGACCTTCAGGTTCCTTGAAAGATGGAGAATGTATTGCCTAATTTTATTGACTAGTTAAAGAATGACGATTTATGTAGACTTATTATTTACACTTTTATTATTAGCAGGTAACTCTTTTCTGTATCAAGTTTCAGTATAATTTTGTCTATATTATGATAGCAAATAATAATTTTTCATTTGCAGAAATATTTCACAGTTTTAGAAATATCAAGTAAGAGTGATCAAGAACAAGTACGTCAGGCTTTTCTGAAGATGGTGAAAAGATTTCATCCTGACAGTGGCTCTGCAGAAGCAAGCGCAGAAAAATTCTTGTTGGTATGATTTGCATTTATTGAAAGATCTTTGGCATTAATGAATTTCATTATTTTAATAATTGGACACAGGGTGACTAAAACTCGCAAAGGAAACACTATTTATTTTTGCCAGTTTATAAATTGATAAAAATAAACATTAATAAGTAATAAAGAAATATTTTAATGCATACTGTTCAAAAATGTTGAACAGATTGAACTAACAGTGGTTTTGATATAAAATGCCTGTATTGCTTTAAAGAACAATTAATTATAATTCATATTATTTTCTTCAGTGTTGTGGGAAACAGGTATTATTTTTAAGCTTTCCAGTTATTACAGAAAATGTAATGGTTTGTTTAGTATTATAAAAAGAGGGCATTTGCTGGGATGCAATAAAATTTTGAATCCCAAAAATTCAACCACCTAAGCTATTGTCTTTGTTGTGGAATGCCTAAATGTTGTTCTGATTGTAAATACCTTCTGCCAGCACTTTAGGTGATGACACCATATTGTGGTGGGCTGGTTATTATCAAAAAACACTGACAGAAACCTCAAGAAGCCTACAAACTTTGAATTATTTATAGACATGCTCCCTGCAGATAGATAAATATGTGTAACAGGCTTTTATGACTGTTATCAGATTGAGAATGCATACCGTAAACTGCAGAATAAGTTTGCAAATGATCGATGGAATGCAAATGAAGGGACAGGTGAATATGGCCTATATCACGAAGAAAAAACTGAAATAAAGGAGTTTGACATAAAGGTAAGGCATGAGTTGTAGTGTCAAAATGATTACCAAGTTTTTCTACTGATGCTTGTAAGAAGTGTGTCAATGTACTTATGCATATGTTTTCCTTTTATCGCTTCACATCAGCACATTAAAAGTAAATGTTGAAACAAAATACTGCTACTAGGCCCTGAAAAACTGCTAAATCTGTCCTTGAACTTCTGTGTTAATTTTTGTCTCCTCATATGGCATTGCATCTGTCTTTATTGAATCTGCTTTTGATGGGTTGTTAGTTTGCTGGACCCAATTTGCAGTGTTTTCAGTAGCAAGTGTAGATAACGAATTCTACAGTCTGCCAAAGTGCGTAAGATGCAATTTGTTTACTGCGTACCCTACACAAGATATAACATTTTATTCAGTTTGTCAATGACTGTCAAATGGTAACATCACTCTGGTGCAGGAAATTCTTTGAAAAGTAGATTGTTTACTTGGCTTGTCAAAGAGTCAAGTGGTAACATATTTAAAAAAAAATAGAGGGAAAGAAAAATTATGAAACCATGTACTGCCTACTTTTTCAGTAAATTCAGATTCCAAAGATGAACTTTCTGAATCTGCAGTTCAGATTAAATGCATCCATTCAGAGTTTGTCACGTATGCAAAAGAGCACTGACATTTGGTTCAGTTGGAAAATTTACATATCGTGTGACTTGTATAAATCTTTAGACTCAAAACAGAGCATTTTATTTTCTTGCAAGGATTTGTGCCGCCAACATTTATTATCCACTAAAATGTTCTGTACGTAATAAAAACTGGAGAACAGTTTATTAAACTTGTATTTTCTGGTTTAGCATACAGTGCCACAACACAGACAGTATTTAAGTTACGGTGGATATGGCATGGGGACACCACAGAAAAGAGAGAAGCAGTACCAGAAATACAGAGCACAGAAAGCTATTGAAAATGTTCACAGTCATAGAATTTCTAAGATACCTTATGGGAAGGAAGTGGGTCTTATACACAAAGATAAATGTGAAGCACAAAAGATTAAACTCAGGTAAATGATTCATTTCACAAAGAGTTAATAGTTCATAGCCAGTGTCTTGATACCAGAGGTTCGCACAGTAGTGAAATTGTTTACTTTTCGTTTATGCAATGATGCTGTGTGTAGCTCGGACTATATAGTGTCGAATGGGAGGATGATTAATAAATAATGATCTGGAAAGGATATTGAAGGAAGCAGTTCTGGAGGGACTGAGGTAAACAACAAATAACCCCACATTAGGATACCTTGTTTGAACCTGAGATTTCCCCAGATACAAAGTAGGAGTGCTATCCACTTGACTACTATGATACATTTGACATTCCATAGTAGATATGAAATTTTGTATGTTGTTTCTTGTTGCCAGGTCTGAAATGGACAGGCTTGTAGAAGACTTAATCCAAGAATCGATTTCAAGAGGTGAATTTGATAACTTGGCTGGAGCAGGGAAACCCCTGAAGCACCAAGCAAGCAATCCATATGTTGACTTTGTTACTCATAAAATGAATCAGGTAATAAATGTTTAATCCAGTTTCATATTGCAATGGATTTATATCAAATATTTTTTGCAGTCTATTAACATGTTCGCAAATTGTGAATGGGACAGGGGCACAAAATTTGTTTGCTGTTTCCCCATATCAATCCATTTAAGTTAATATTTTAACAGCAAAAGGACATAATTCCCCATTAGAGATCTCTCCTTTCCTGATATCTTCTATTTTTCAACACGTGTCAACTGACTTGATAAATCACATTTTATATTATCAGGTGCTGATCAATAATGGTTTCACCCCTGAATGGATATCACTGCAGAAAGAAATTTCAGATGACACGAAATATCTTCGTGAAAGTCTTACAAGGTACAGAACTGAACTCGGGCACTTACCTCTAGATAACGACGATAATAGTAAATGGAATGAGATCTTGATTAAACATAAAGAAATGGTGATAAAGCTCAATGCAAAAATAGATAAATACAATCTTCTTGTTCCACTTCTGCAAAAACAGAAATTGCATATTTTATTACAACGAGAAGCAGATTGTATTCTGAAAAGTGGGAAAACCCGGTATGATGTTACAGCTCCTGTGAAGTTTTCAAGAGTTGAACATGGAGACAATCGAGTTGATTTTCTTGGTTTCTTAAGTTCTTTCTATGAATGGTAAGTTGTACAGATTGACAGGATTTACATATTGCTCTTGAATGAGTCAAGTTCTTTAATTCTAAATAAGGTTGTAAAAATGTACTGATATAGATAATATTAGTGTATTTAAGATTTTCTTTTCTTGATAAAGATCTCTGTAATTTTAGCTGTTCTTGTTTTTATTTGAGTGGCAATAAATGTTATAGTCAACAAAAATTCAAATGCAATTTTTGATTACATCAGCTATGATCAATATAAGTGAATGTCATATTATACTGTGTTTAACTCAATGGGACACACTGTATTCTATCACTGCTGACATTCACGTGTAGTGAAATGCGTTGCGTCTCAGACAAGTGGTTAGCACTCCTGCTAATGAAGTTTGGAATATTACTCTCATAGGAATGAGGAAGTTAGGAAACGAATGGATGTGAGGGGTCTGGTAGAGAGAGTAGAAGAAGCAAGAATGAAGTGGTATGGACACGTGAAGCGAATGGGAGAAGGGCGGATAGCACGACAAATGTTGGATATGAGAGTGACTGGCACAAGACCAAGGGAAAGACCATGAAGAAGGTGGGAGGAGCAGATAAAACGAGGAGTGATGGAGAGAGGTGCCCAGTGGTAGTTGGTGGAAGAGGAGGAGTGGTGGATGGACAGGAAGAGATGGAGGGGCTTTACCAAGCGGACCCGGCCACAGGCTGGAAACAGCAATGGTTGATGATGATGATGAGTAATAATCCAAGGTTACACATACCAGACAATAAGATCATGGATGAAAAGCCCTTCATCAAAATCTTGTGCATGAAATACAGTAAAACATATCTAAAAAATATATTTGTCTTCAATGGTACCTTTCTGTGAGTGAAAATCAATGTTTATTACTTTACTATAACATATCATATAACAACAAATGAAATGTAAGAATGTTTGCAAAGTATAACATAAACATATAAAAGTATCAAATATTCATTACATGTATAAAAAATAGGTAATATTCATACAACCAAAAAAGATTTTATGCAATATGGAACAAACTGGAAGGAATGTTTCACAAGATGGAGGAACTATGACAGGATTCCATGAAGATTATAAGACAGTATCCCAGATTAAGATTATGCTTAGGAATGCCTCCAAAGAAGGAAATATTTTTAAGGCACTTGACAGACCAAGTTGTAAATACTTGGGAGGACGATGGTGAATGCATTAGGCTCAGCTGCTGATGACATACGCTGGGCAGGACATGGCCAGAGTAGCACAGTCTGTATCACTTTCCCTAAAATGAATCAAAATGCTGCTGCACATAACAGAATGACCACATTTCAAAAATATCATAGAAATTTAACAAACTACCTATAAATCTTAAAATGTAATTTGAAACCTCAAGGGTCAAGCATGCAAGAATGTTGAATTATTTATTCCAACCTGAGATTCACTATTTCCATACTAGTTTTCCAGCCTCATTAAGGAAAACTTTTTCTGTAGCTACCAGCATAAGAGCTTTAGGGAACACCTTATGTTCAGTCAGTTTGACACGTTCCTGAAGACTTTCCTCAGTATCTCCCACTTCAATTTGTACTGATTCTTGTACTAGTATAGCCCCAGCATCAATATCCTCCTGTAATTTCAGAATTAATTAAAACTTAATTTCGTAAATAAAACCTATGAGAGAGACGAAGATAAAATAAAACAAGCTACAGCATATATCAGTGGGTGGGCCCTCGCAGTCACATACAAGAATATAAAGCAATTCATAATCATAGTGAGCTTCTTTAATAAAGAAAATCTGCTGCTAAGTATTCAGTAAAGTTGCAGTATTCACAAAATGAATTGAATCTGGGAACCAACAACCTGAGTCGCATACTTCATACCTTGACAGGAACGTACCTCTACAAAGTGCGCCGTACAGCCAGTGATTCTGACACCGGCTTCCAGTGCCTGTCTGTGAGCGTGCGTCCCTTTGAACAAAGGTAGCAGAGCTGGATGTATGTTAATAAGTCGACCTCGCCACAACCTCACAAAATCACCAGTCAGTATTCTCATGAAACCAGCCAAACACACTATTTCCACTCCGGCTGCCGTTAATTCTGAATGTACAGCCATATCAAATGCAAGACGTGATTTATACGCTGTGTGGGGAATGACCTGTTGGGAGAATAAATGATTACATAAGTTTGGGAAGATGCAAAAGTAACTAGGTCAGCCAGATACAATAAACAGTTCACAGGTAACAATCTGTCATTCGTTCGGACACGACCGATTCTATGGCTAGAATCTAGATTCATGTCTTGAACTCCTCAACCACTTTTATGTTAAATTTACCAGATAAAACCTTGAGTTTTGCACAGTTGCCGCCACATTTGTAATTCTAGACTCACAAACATTATTTCATGCACAATTTTCAGATATGTTTATGATCTATTTCTATACTAAATTTCTCGAAAAACTAACAGCTTTCAAAAATATAATAATAGAAACATTAATATAAGAAAAAACATCATATTTGCCTTTGTAGGAATGTTAGCATTCTTTGCTCTTATAAGTCCTTGTACTCCAGGCTTGTTGGAGATGACTATTACAATCTCAGCACCTGTTCCTTTGCCCGGATCAATGGTAGCATCAATAAGAGACTGAAAAACAACAATTTTCAGAACCACTGATTTTATTATATAATGTATTCACAGACATGTCATATTTTGCCTTGAAAACATTATATATGCTGCAGCTATCTGATAGGGATGGCTTTCTTTTAACTTGAAAATATCAAGGTAACCTGTCACAGGACTTCTTTCTAGATTATATTTTTTATATCAAATCTAAAACTTCTTGACGATGGTGAAGAGTCAATTGAATAAAAATTTACTTGGATATTATCCATCGTCTAGTAATAAAACGTAAAAACGACGTTTCGGAGATGAGACTCTATCTCCGTCTTCAGGTTCCTACTCAGTTGGGCCCACTAGATCTCCGGAGATAGGGATTAGCTCTATCTAGTGGGCCCAACTGAGTAGGAACCTGAAGACGGAGATAGAGTCTCATCTCCGAAACGTCGTTTTTACGTTTTTTACGTTTTATTACTAGACGATGGATAATATCCAAGTAAAATTTTTATTCAATTATATTTTTTGTTTTGTAGGTTCAGACAGAATTCATGGATACAGGAAAATATGAAAATAAATGGTATTCTGCCTTTAAAATAATTATTCCTGGATGATCTTTATATCAGGTCTGGAATCAATAAAATACCTGAAGATTTGTGCCACTGCCAGAAATAAGAACCCCAACTTGCTTTCTGTTGCGGGTATGCACCCTCATGACTGAATTCACAAATGGTCTCATTACTGTCTCCATTACAGAGACAAAATTCTTAACTATAACTTGACTTGCATCTGAAAGAAAAGTACAATAAAAGATGATCCACACAGAATTTTAATGAAATTAAAATGCAACACTGAAATTATTCTCAAGTAGTTTAAAATTACAACTTAAAAAAATAAGACATCTACTTCTGTTTTAATTTTACAAATAAAGATTATTTTGGTATCATCGTGTCCTTGCATCCTCCCTATAAGAAGTATAAGACAACATGGCACCTGCACAAAACTTAAATGTACCTTTCTGCTTGATGAAAGTAACTAATGAATAACTGGAGCAAAATACATCCACAGACTGTCATCTTAAGGGTATAATTATTCATTCATAGTTCTTGCTGCGGCAACACTAAGTTTGTTCTCGGTTGTTGCTGAATTTGTGGGAAAGTATAAAATTTGGTTCTAAACTGAACCTCTCTTTGACAGCAGAAGTTCAGCTGTCAAATTGATGGCCTACTTCTGAGTTACACAGTTCCGTTGTGTAACTCAGACAAGAATTAATTCCTCTTACCTCTATCACCTTGTAACTCCACAGTTCCGATAGTACACGGCGTTTCACAAGCAATTAATTGAAGTACAGCCTCTGCATCTGAAGCACTCACAATAATGATAACTCCAATCCCACAGTTAAATGTCCGAAGAAGTTCGGATGCATTTATGCCACCTATACGGAAGAAAAGAGTAAGGAGGATCTCTGAACTGTTGGTAAACTTCTACAAGGCTACATGGCACTACAGCCCAGAAGACAGCAGCCACTTCAAACTCACTGCCATGAAAACCTCGGATCTTACAGAGTAAGGAGTTACTAACAGGTTGTTTGGTGTCCTCTTATCATTTATTTTTTGTATGGATTTGGAGCTCAGCAGCTGAATTATATTTATGGAAATGTCATACACATATCTACCTGAGAATTATCCAACAACCAGGAACAACATTATAGCATAACAAAACTTGGATGTAAAACAACTGGCAAATGCGTCCAGTAAGTAGTCAATGCTATTTTGGACTTGACAGATCATAACACTAGCTAACAAATTTAAATATGAGGAAACATCGAAAGGAAAACAGGTTTGATTGATAATTATTAATTTTTATAGCCAATGCCCAGGACTTATTTCTTAACTTTGTATGATGTACATATAAATATACCTGCAGCCGCCAACCAACCAAATACTGGTGGTATTTTCCATTTTAGTGCATCAATCTGAACTTTGTAGCCTTTTGGTAGAACACGAGGAATATTTTCCGTCAGCCCACCACCTGTGATGTGTGCCACTGCTTTTACTTTTCCACTCTGCACAGCTGGAAGTAAGCTTTTTACATAGATCTTTGTTGGAGTCAGAAATTCTTCACCTGCAGATAACGATCAAAATAAATGAATTTGACTACTACTAACACACCACTTTCCATATTTTCAAATGATTTATTAGCTATCTCTACATTATGCATTCTGGCAATAAAATATGAATGTACAAACACCTTGTTTGTACTGTTTAGTAGTTGAGATTCTAAATTTGCACCAAAGTAAAATGTAACTTAAATTATAAATTAAAGTATGATTCTGTTGCTACCACACATAGCTGCCATAACACTATTTTTCACAATTATCTTCACTTATTTGTATTTGATTAAGAAAACACATTCTAAGAACTGCTTCAACATAAATTACTATGACAATATGGTTTCATTTAATAGCCTAAGAAGATTTGAGAAAATACCAAATTCAGTGAAAATGTTAACTTATATTACCAAATGATTTTCCAAAAGTGCTGAATGGTGCTGGGTCAGAATACTGAAACCCAGATCTTTCCAAGACCTTGCGAACAAGGCTGAAACCATTACTATGAACGCCACTAGATGCTAATCCAATGATTATATCTCCTTCCTGAATTTTATCTGTGCTGGGAATAAGTTTGGATCTCTCAACTGCACCCACTGCAAAACCTGCCAAGTCATAATCATTCCCTGCGTACATTCCAGGCATCTCTGCTGTCTCTCCACCTGCAACCAACACGGTTTACGCGTACAGTACTGTTTCAACCTGATACATTTTGAATAACTGCAGATAAATGGATATAAGATTCAGAGATTAGAGTAATTCCTGAAAATGACCATTTACACAATGCAGATTGCACTGCAATGTAAACAAAGGAAATTCAACAACATGTTTTAGGAACTGTTATTTACTTTCCGCCTTAGCTGAAACCTGAAAGGAGGAACTATTACTTCAAGTGCTCCGTTTTCAAAACATGAGACTGATGTTACTTACGTTGTGAATATTGCAACTCCAATAATTTAATCTGCCACACTTACCAACAAGAGCACAACCTGCCCTTTGGCAACCTTCAGCAACTCCAGTCACCACTTGGCTTGCAACATCCACATTTAGGACACCACAAGCAAAGTAGTCAAGAAAAAATAATGGCTCTGCTCCGTGGGCCAGGATGTCATTGACACACATAGCTACCAAGTCAATGCCTACCGTCGAGTGCAGCCCACAGGCCTGAGCAATCTGAAAATATACGTTAACCAAAGATAAAGAAACAAGAAAGATTAATACCTATCTGTATTACGAGATGAGTACGGGGCAATGGCAGAAGGATAATTAGCAGGGGAAAAGAACTTGGAGAAAAATCTTCTCCAGGGCCACTCTGTCCATCACAAGTCTCACCTGAAGTCACCCAGGACTGAACCAACATCTCTGTGGTGAGAAGTCAGTGTCTAGCTTCCTGAACTATGGTATGGATTTTATTCAAACAAAAAAAAATATAAAATACACAACAGAAATGAAAAAAATGGTGGAAAGAAGGGTGAGTTTTTGTGTCAAATATGTAACCGTACATGTTTCCCAAAGTGGGAACTGCAGCCCTCCATAGGGAGCACTTAAAAATAGGATGGAAACGAAGATGCTGACTTCATTTCAATCTCAAATAAACACCAAGTTTATAAAAATTAAACTAAATTACAATCAAACAGTTTAATATAAAAGTACTTCATAGAGAACATTAAGATAATTGGAAAACATTTTTGAAATTAATAAATCAGATTTTAACGAATTTTTATAGGTTGGAGGAGGGGGGAACTCAAACTTTTTTTATTCACATAAAGAGAGCCTCAGGCTGTAATAATTCAGGAAATCCGCTGTTCTAAAAAGACCACTTAACTTCACATAAACACTATACCTTCAGTTTTGTTCCAACACCATCAGTGCCTGAAACAAGAACAGGATCCTTGTAGCCAGCAGCTTTAATATCAAACAAGCCTCCAAAGCTGCCAATTGAACCAAGAACTCCATTACGATTTGTCTGAGCTACTGCAGGCCTAATTCTCCTAATCAAATTATCCCCTGCTACAATATCCACACCACTAGCCTTGTACGACAGACAGCCTTCCTGGAGTAATGATCTGAAAAATAATACGAACACATCTGAAGAACATGTGCATTCTTTATTTAATGATCACAGCCAAAAACAAGAACACTCAGGCATCTGGAAGACCTGAAAATCTTTTTTGTATTGTTATGTGAATATTGTATTTACAGGAAAATGGCCGTGAAAATTATGTTTTCTCTGTTATATCGCTGAGGATATTCGCAGATACATACCAGTGTTTCAGAGAAACATACTGTCCCCATCATCAGGGTAGAACAATACTGTCAACTTCACTGACATTTGAACCTCAAATGTCACAAGTGTAATATATATTTTCACACCAGGATGGATAAATTACATTCACAATAAATCCCATTTAAATGAGAACTTTTATTCAATTGCAAACTCTTTCACTAACCATGGCTGACGAAACTTAAAAATGAAATTATTTTTCTTTAAAGTGAACACAGGCAAGTCACTAACTAGACTAACCACCCATGCATATTTCATATAAAATCTCATTTTCCTGCAGTCTAACAGTATTTAGATTCTTATAACATCACATTACGAACAAACTGTGTCATCTCAACTTCATATCTGATTTCACGTCAGTATCCCACTGTAAATGGATTCTCACGCTGTCTTGCTTTTGCTAAAAGTTCTCATTTGTAACTAAACCTGAATCATGCTGTAGGATAAATGAGACAATAATCACACCTCGCAATTCCTTTGTGAGATATGTCTGTCCTGTATTGGGCTCCTTCAAAAACAATTGTCCCACAAGCTATCGTTGCTTTCGCAGCTGCTAACATGAGCTCACTTGCTATAGCGGTAACAATCAATACTCTTCCACCATTTGTAACGAGATTTCCATCAGCTGATATAGTCGTTCCACAGTGGAACACTAAATGCTCAGGCCTTCTTGAAACCACATCATGACCTATTGAATCAATACGACAAAATTTAATACAAAACTATGAATATTGCATCAATAGACTGTTGCAAGAGTGTAAAAAAATCTATTTATAATATTAAATATGCAATCTAAACAAAATCTTGCAAAAACAGGTTTCGGTACAATATTTAATACTTTCATGATGGGAAATGAAGCATTATACAAGCCACAAGCAATGCTAGCTGCAAGCCGGGACATGTAATCTTATGTTTATCAAGTTCATTTTTAGTTTCTTTACCGCGTAGCTAAGGAGCTGTAGATCCATGTTGGTTCCAGACACCACAGCACCTTATTTAGTCACTTTATTTTTCCAGTAAATTGTACATGGTGTAAATCAGATACAGAGGTACATGTACCTACAAGAAATAGTCGTCGTGAAATAGCAAGTTGCAAAACTTTTAAGTTTATTACATAGCAGATGAGTACCTGGAACATTTTTTTACACACGAGAGTGTTAAAACCACTGTATCAACATAATGACTAACAAACTAAGGGTTACTACCATTCAGTATCAAATCTTCCTATATCCTATCTAAATGCTTAACAATTACGATACACAAAACTACAGTTTAATTTGTTTGTATGAGTGCGAAAGTTGTTCGATATGAGGGCAGAGTACAAATTGATGGTGTTTGAGAACAGGGTGATGAGGAGAACAACTGTGTCTAAGAAAGTTACAGTGGCCACTGGCAGACTCTCTTGAACATGGTAAATGAACATTTGGGTTCAATGAAAGCCAGGGAATTTACTAACTACTGAGTGGGTATTCTTCTTCTTCTTCTTCTATGGCTCTCCAGTCCATATTCGGTCCATGGCCCCCTCAATTCTCATCTTCCATTCGGTCCTCCGTTAGGTCCGTCTGTCCGAGGCTTTGATTGAGGTTTCGAAACATCTTCCTTTTTACGGTGCAAGGTTGTTAGCCTTGCGACCAACCCCCAACCTGGAGGACCTGTCTTAGTCTGACCTCTCCCCCTTGATCAATCTGGCTAGGGAGGCCCTACCAGTAGCTATGCTACTGCCAGCATAGCTCTTGGGGTCACTGAGGTACTGAAGCCCCACCACCATGACAAGGTACAGAATGAGTATTAGCATCTCAAAATGGAGTTAGTCAGATAATAATAACACAACAAAATATTGTTATGAAGTTCAAACATTAATACCTTACACTTTCTCCATTATATTAAAAATTTCAAAGATTATAAACAAGAAACCTGTTTACCTGTTATAATATTTCCTTTAGATGATGACTCAGGATAGCCTCGGCTTGCCATCACTACACCAACAGCATATGTATTTGGTCTCCATCGCAACACGTGTTTGTCTAGCTTACCCCCACAGCAAGCCTAGAACACAGAATATTAAGATTCCGGGTACTTATGCGACAAGTGAGACAATGTGTTGTCAGTGTAAAGTGGGTCTCACAGTAACTAGTGGCATCATAAAAGTTGTTAAAAAAGTAACTTTAAATTATAGGGGGTGGCAATCAACATGAAGAAACGTAAAAATTAATTTCATCGTCACATAAGGATAGCCCACTTAAAAAACAAAATGAACTGTAACACCAAATAAAGACAATTTTAATGATCTGCAGTGAAACCGTCCAGTAAAGCAGTAGAAAATAAATCAATTGATAAATAAAAAATCATGCGTCTTCCAACAAATTATTTCATTAGACTGGAAGGACCACAAAATATTAATATAGGGCATCTGTCCAATAAGTTTAATTCCTTACCAACATGATTTTGTATAAGTCTGATTGAAGCAAGGGCAATATGACTTGTGCCTCTGGATCTCCAAACCTGCAGTTGAATTCTAGGACTTTTGGGCCATTCTTTGTTAACATAAGACCTGCGTACAAAACTCCTAAAACAACAGAAATAATTTAAAAATTTCAAAGAGAGCTAAAAAATTAACTGCGTTTTAGCTATGAGATATTAAAGTATACCCAGTTTCCACATTGATTTATAAATGAGCAGCCTTACTAAATTATAATGAAGAATTTCTTTTTTTGTTATATTTAAAATTTTGCTTTCTACGGATTCACTTATCATGTGACATAAATCCATCCAATACAAAAAACAGTGTCATAAAGACCTCCAATGTCATGGTTTGATTTCACTGTTGCGGAAGTTGGCAAGCTTGTTTAGGAAGTATTATATGTTTCCTCTGAGATGAGAGGCTAAAATAATGCGCATTTACAAGAGACCCCATCCCTTTCCAACTTCAGCATCTTGCCTGTGAATGGAGTCTTCTCCATTCTCAGCCCATTGACTGCCTTCTGGAGGACTGTGTCTTTAACTTTGGCCAGATCAGACTCTGAGATCAGTGGACATGGACAGTATGCACCCATGCCCCCTGTATTGGCCCCAGTATCACCGTCCATGTGACGTTTGTGATCTTGTGATGGGAGCATGACACTTATATTTGATCCATCCACAAATGCAAGGACCTAAAATTAAACAATAACAAGATCAACGACTGTTCGATTCTACAAATCACAAATAACGGAACTTATGACACAAGACTAATGAAGAGCTATTAGTTTGAAATTGAATAATTACCTTTCAAAATGCATATGCTTTTACTTAAACACCTTAAAACTGTGAAGGTTTAAAGATTTGATCTTCCATTCCACAGTGTCTTAAGGATGCTTTAATTCATACGCTACTGCAGCCACTGTTGTACGACAGTTTTAATATAAATAAACATCATCCTAACATATGCTGTGACAATCAAGCATCAATTATTTTACAATCTGATCTATAATTCAAATCAAACGGACCACATACCGACACTTCTTCCCCCTCCAGCAGTTCCTCTACAACCACAGTGTTGCCAGCAGTTCCGAGTATGTGATCTGTCAGAATGCTGTCCACTGCCTTGCCTGCTTCAGACTGTGAAGATGCTACTATAACTCCTTTTCCCGCTGCAAGTCCACTTGCTTTCACTACTAACGCTGGGAAACTGGAACTGAACACAAATTTTTCACAGTTTTCCTGCACCAGTCATTAGAAATTTTCTCTTTGCTACAGAGTACTATGTATAAATATTCTCTATTAAACTTAGATATGACAACACTGACTTTGTGCTCCATTACTACAGCCACATAGAAACACAAACCAAAGAAAATTGCCCTGATGACGGTGACAGTATGACCTCTGAAACGTTGGTTAACATTAACCAGACTACACAGCGCAACAACCCAGAAGACAGAAATCTTCATACTCTGATGATGGTGACAGTATGACCTCTGAAACGTTGGTTAACATTAACCAGACTACACAGCGCAACAACCCAGAAGACAGAAATCCTTATAGCAACCATGTTCAACATTTACTTAATGCAGATACCAATGGATTCGAAGAACACACCATTTCCATCATCAGGGCTGAGATGGAGACAGTATATTTTTCTAAATAGTTGGTAATTACATGCATGTCCAAATGGCATTATAACCCAGAAGACCAATATCAACATCTTCACTGCCATTTGAACCTTAATCTCATAAAATTAAAAACAATTACATTTTGACAACAGACTCCAGGGCTTAAGAATGTCATACCTTACAATAAATGCTTTAGCTTTATCAGCTGATGTGAATGCCCCCCATCTTGCTGTCGGAATGCCGTGCCTGTCCATAAAACTCTTGGCCCAGTCTTTATCAGATTCAATACGAGCGGCATCTCTGCCTGGACCAAAACAATTTACTCCATTTGCATGTAATACATCAGCAATTCCAGCTGCTAGTGGAACTTCAGGTCCCACCACCACAAGACCTATATTGTTTTCTTTACTCCATGAAGCAACAGCCTAAGTAGGAATGTTTGAAACATTCATTATAAATAAAATGTCACCATCAGTTTAAAAGATATTACCACAGTTTTTCAGTGCCTTGTAAATGAAAAAGGAATGCAAAATTGTAGTGCAACAGATTCTATGCTGCAAATGTAAAACATAAAATGATAGGTGAGACCAAAATGACAACAATGCTCAACTACATTCCAACACTAAAAACTTGTTACTTGACTTGGCAGATCAAAGCATAAATTCACATCACATCTAAATCATTACATCTGGAGCTCATCAACAGAATATTTAATCCTCATATTCATAATACTGGAATATATGATGATTAAAGGAGTGCACAAATATACATTCATATCATACATTCAACACACATTGGAAACTTAAGAATTTTTTATTACCACTACATAATCATACAAAATGTGGAAATAACAAGCGTGTTTGAAACACTGGGGTCTCACATGCTACAAAAAAAGCTCTTTTTTAAGCCATCATTCTATCCCAGAAGGAAGAGACAACGATAAATCTGATAACAATGTTATTCATGGCTGTCAATAGTTCACAATAAAAACAGAATCCTTATCAGGGTCACTTTTATCTGAAGTAAGCCCTCTTGGAAGAAGACCATTTGCAAGACTAGAACTGATTATATTAAAATATTCAAGAATACAGTTTGTGATATAGATTAAGACTGATTACCTTTCAGAGAATATAACAAAGAATCATTTATCCTTGAATAAGTATTCACAGTGAAGATCTAGTACCACAGTGTCAGCAAATAATTTTGTGGGTTGATTGGTTGGTTAAATGTTATAGCAGCAAATTGTTATGTACTCAATATTTCTTGTAACATGAAATATGATTCACTGATATAAAATAAAACATACCTCATGGTCCTTGATATCCAGTGCCACACATATCACTTTATTAACTTGAGATATACCAGCGTTACCAGGAGAAACATAAATTTTTGTGACCTAAAATCAATAATAAATAGAAAAGTATTGTACACCTGAAACACATAATGAAATTCAGGGGGATCAAATGTCTCTATTTCTGCATACACATTTCTACACAAAACTATTAAATATATTTGCAATTATGAGCTCATCCTATGAACAAGACCCGAAAATATAGGTTTACAGCTTAAATCATGATGTCTATAGTTTTCCAAAGTACAGTGAATATCGTTATTATGACAGGAGATAAAGAAGTAAGGTTAGGGCCATACCTAAAGAATCGTACCCACTAGTTTTAACTGTAATATCAAATGCTGAAGCCACCATCATGTTCTTTCATCTGTGTTTCTCCAGCTTACTATCATAAATCAAGAATTATACAAAAAATGAACTTGCTTGTGAATAATGTGGTTAGCTTGTAACTATACATCAGATTGATTGTAGCTAACCTTGACTGGGGAGACACCGGAATTTACAGCAGACACTTAGGTCACAGCTCAACAACAGTACCACAAATAAAACATGACAGAAACATTAATTCTTGCCTCTCTGTCAACAAATTTCTGATTATGAAAAATCTAATGTTTCTTCACTTTAGCCAAGTCTCACTACTCTCGATGTCATTTGCTTTGACACAATATTAGGCCTAACCAAAACAGTTAATATACAATAATGACAAGCTATTCTCAATAATAACAGTTCATTCAATTAGATCTTTCTCATTTTTACAATCAATAACCTAGTAGGAACAAGCTACATTGTAGACCCTTATAAAATCCTTTATGATATATTCATGAAAAAGTGTAAAAACAAACATATTTATAATGTTAAACAAGGCTTTATTAATCATACCTCATCTGACTGTGCCAGTTTCCAAGAAATTGCATGTTCTCTACCTCCACTACCAATTACCAGAACATTTGCCATCTCTTCAAATGTGCAGACAGCAACAACTTACATTCAGACTTCTTCAGGATAACCTAATAACCTAGGGAAGAGCTGAAGATAAACTGTTACATAGATGTAATGAAATACATACATATATATACTGTATGTCTTGAAAATATCAGGAGTAAAAATGCAGTGAACCAGAACATTCTTGATAAGAATTAACGTAATATGCTTGAAAACAACACACTATCTTACAGCTACTACAGACCATATTAAATTGGTTTATTAAGCAAGAACTTGTAATTTTTATTTATATTTCAACAAATTATATTGACATTCAAAGGTCTGTATCTGTGCCAGAATATGAAGGAATATACAATAAAACTTAAGTACTTCAAGGCAGCAAATTCTAAAAAAATTCTAAAATATTCTTAAGATGTTCAATTATGCCTAGATGATTCCCAACACAACATACTTTCCCTTTGAATTTAACTTACAGCATTAAAAATTCCCTTTAATTTACTAAGAGAATATTAGTACTGCCCCACCCCAAATGTATGCTTTTAAATTATAACTGTTCTTCTCGCAACTTTCAATCAAAAAGGTTCACGATTAAAAAGCAAAATATTAAATTAACAGTCTAGTTACCTTGTGAAGTTTAATAACAAAATTTTTATTTCACTTTGGAATTAAGTAATACGTATGTGGGGTTTGAAGTTAAAACCCGGAACAAATAGGCACCATCAAACGTTGGGTTGTGTGTGGAGAATATTATTTCTTTACCTCTTGTACAAAAGCCGGCTAAATGTTTTCCATAACCCGGAAACCATCACAGTTCGCTTTCATAAGGGGAACCCTAACTTGTCCACAGCTACCTTACTAACCCAAATTCAAGCAAAATACAATACTCTGAACATTCCTAATTTCCGGCCATATCCAAAATTGTATATCTTATACGTGCTAACTTTGGCAGTGTAAAGAAAATGTTAGAAAACTCTCATTACTTTCAATATGAGTATTGCATTACTGGTAACTAAAATATTTCTGCAGCGTGAAATGGTTTGCTGTTTATAGAAAACTTAGTAAAATTCCACTGTTGCATAAAATACAGAAAAAAAATATGAGGTTGAAAGTCTAGAAATGTTACCTACGAAAACATAATTAGTAAGCAAACCACGTTGGTGACTTACTGGGGGCTCATCCTCGTCTTTCTGGACCATCACAGCATATTCTAATAATTTTATGTATATGTTTTGTACCATTTCAAATATTACTTTTATCAAAGGTAAATCGTAACTTAATTGGTAAAATTCCAGTGAATGTTTCCCCACCAGCCAAGACACATTTCGAGGTTATTTGCAGGGAACTCGTGTGCTGCCATCTCTACACACTGCCGGAATACTAATGGCTCAATTGACAAAATTGTCAACCGTTTTGCAAATCCGCAGGTGCTCTTTACCCCGATTGAATGGAACAGGAAAATGTGGCAATTCCCCCCCCCCAAGCACTGAAACTTATACAGGAATTGCGTATTACGTCATAAATTACACGATCTTACAAGGATGCAATTACATCTTCATTACCTTATACCCATTGTAGTATTCCTTTTGGCAGCCAGCAAACTCAGCATCTGAAGACTTGTCAAAATTTGCATGGAATTTGATATAATTATAATGAAAAAAAGCATACTAGATTCCAAACAAAAATTCTAAATCTGCAAGACTGAATTTACCATTCATTTCTACACCCATGCCATATGCAATCAGAGGCCAATTTCTGCACAAAATTGTATTATATCCAATTATTAAATTTTGCATCAACATGTTACTCAAACAGTATGCACAAATTTTGAGGTACGCATGTAACCACCTCCTTCATAATTGCCATATCCAATCACTTTCATACAATGGCCATTATACAGCCATCATCCCAACACTGAACATTTCCTGCAAATAGTAGTAACATGCATTCTGACACAAAAGTATGAATTTGAAATAATGTATTTTTGAATACACAAACTTCACATAATTTTTTCTGAACTTTCATTTGATAGCAGTAACTAATTAACCACTGAGGCCACAAACAGAAAATATGGAAATTCATGATTTTGTACCAATTACATGAAATGCCCATCACAACAGGAGTCTTCTAGGTTAATGTTTGACAAATTTAATGCAGACAAAATCTGCAAATGAACACTAACCTCTGCCCCTGAACATGGCTGAATATCAGGGAAATGCAATTCAGATGACCAAATGTCTTTTAAGATGTACACCTATATTTGGTTGGCTTGACAAAGCACCAGACATAAATGTACAAAATAGTTTTTAATTGAAAACCTGTGACATTAACACAAAGGGGAATTCATGACGGATAAGTAGGAGGGAAGGTCATTACAAAGGGAATAAAATAATGAGATTTCTGAAAGCCATTATATTGCTCTTTAACAGCCACAAATTTCTTTAAGTATAGAAGTAACGAAATGTAATTGTTGACCTACCTGCTTAAAATCCTTACAACTCACAAGAATGTGTTTATCAACTGTTGCAGAAGCAATCTTCAGCCTGATTTACATGCCACATTTAACTGTGCACATATACAGAGGGGCTGAAAATGCAACAAACAGGAAGGGAAAACAACACTAGATTTATTCATGTGAATCAGGCTGAAGTTAGCCTTCCAGCTGTACAGGAGAGAAAATGGCATTAATATAACTTGGTATCTTGAATGTGATAAAGAATATGATCACCACTGGATAGGTGAATGCTGTTAATATTTCCAAAACCAAACTGATAAAGCATTACTTTAAAAATTCTCCTACTGAAAAATTTCAACCATGACAATATTTCATGTAGTCATATTCCATTCACAATTTCTATACCTGTCTTGCTTTCAACTGTTTAGTGTAAACAGTTTGCATTTCTTTTGTTCGATGAATGGAACAGGACCCTAGCATCGGTACCCCACGGCTGCTACCAGTGGAAATTCTACTTCGACTGGAAGTTAAACACATTCTGAACTTTACATGAACCATGACATTACTGCCAACAGTATATCGACACACATACAGTACTGCACTTTTTGCTTACCAAGTCTTTACATTCAAGACCACTGAAGCCACCAAACAGCTATGAGGCACAGACATTATGACATATGGGAAGAGGAAATTTGAGGCCCTCCCCAATCTAACCAGGTAACCACCCCAGTAACTTACACTTTGTTTTCTTCCTTAATCCACTTCTAAACTTTTCTACTCCCACTATTTCCAAGCTTGTTGCTTCGCTTTTAGCATCTTGACTAACTTGAAAATGGTAACGTAATTCTTCCGACTAACCAACCCCAGCGACTTCTTGTGACTGAATTTGCCTCGGATGAGATTTCTTTATTCGAGTTTTCTATAGTTTCAGATCATATTCTTTCTCATGTGAGCTTCAAGAAGACTTGAACGTGGATGTTCCATGTTCGGTTTCTTCCCCAGAGATAACTTGCTACATATTTTTGTTTCTTTTACTTCAAACTTCATCCAATACCTCTTTCTTCATCATAACCTTACAAAAATGAAACAAACAAGACATATTAGAATGTGCTAATACTAAATGAATTTAATTTGTTCTAGTGGTACAATATTAGATCTACTGTCTAGAAGAAATCCATTTTAATCGTGACTGGATGATAAAAAATGCAGCGAAACATAAAAACAGTAACCAATCTTAGGTTGCTAAGAACACAAACAGGTTAATATTTGCTGCCATTACATGAAGTATAAAATAAACAAAATGCAACGTGAGAAAACACTGCAAACCAAAGAGAATTACTCACATTCTGCGAATCACTTATTACTAAATTATTAAATTTTGTCCTAAGCTACTATTCAGAATGTGCCAAATCAGTACTACCATATTCCTTAAAATAAGTAGAACTCATAACTCTCAGAGGAATACACAATGTTCAATATTCTTGTTTAAGTCATTAACAATCAATCAATCAATCAATCATACAATCATACTGATGACTGGCTGTCCACTACATTATATCAATGCAAAAATCATTCCATTCAGCATAGCGGTAAACTGTCAGTCACTACTGTTTATCTGTCAGCCATCTTTTAGGGGGACACAACACGATTATGCAATGGAAGTTAGTCCACATCAAGTGAAAACGAAGCCCCCAATCTGGTGCTAGAAGTTTAATATCGACCTGTAATAAGGACAGGGTACATATACAATCTGATGATGACACACACACACACTTTAAAAAATAAACACATGATTATTTTCACCAACAGATTCTTGGAGATCTTCTTCCCAATAAAGCAGAATTAGATCTTGATGTGGAAACCAAGGTTTTTGTTCAAAATATGCAGATAAAAATGTTTGTATTAAGATAAATATGGCTTTAAGGAAATTCTTTCTGGTCGAGAGTTATACTTACGAGGAGAGTACGAGCGAGACCGCGAGCGCTCGTAACGTCGCCTACGATAATAAGGAGAAGGCGAACGACCACGGTAACCACCACCTCTGTAACCTCCACCATAATAGTCACTGTGAACACAAGTGTTCAAATTACAGCAAATACAAAGACAGAAAAACAAAGTAATTGTAACTGTATTCAATTTCATAATTATATCTTTTGATTTCCAGTGTCTGAACAATCAGGATACAAAGAATATTTAAGGATGGGAGAATCTATAGGATAGGAGGTGGGGACCACCTCTCCCCCCCAGCTGGCCGTGAAGCTGTGATGGGGAAGAAAAAATCCTGCAAGGAATTGAACCTTGGTCATCCAGCTCACTGCTTAGTCACTATAGTGACTACAATTCCAGCATCCGTTCATCTTACTGCACCACAACACAACTAAGAGTATTTCTAACTATTATCAGAACCAACACATAAACATGTTTCCTGAAATGAAGATGCTATTCTCATGGACGTACACACAATTTCATAAATAACAGAAACTGCCCTCCAAGCTTAAACCACAAAAGAGAACAGTTTTTAGCTCTGAAAGATACCAAAAACATTGTTTTCTGCCTTTGGAATTACAAAAGAAATGCACTAGTTTTTAATAATTCAAACACAGCTTTAAAGATTATTGATGTACACCTCATTTAAATCCAATTTCTATCCAGTACAAAAAAATTCAAACTTTTTATGGGCTTATTTACAGTAAACTTTATACAAATTATAAGTGTGAGAAGGAACTGAGCTTACAATTACAAGCCTTTATTTATTCTAAAATATGGGGACTGCACTTTTAAGCAATTACGACAGACACGTCATCCAGTCAAGAACCTCCTTAGAGCCAAATTTTAGACCACATTAATAAAATGTATTTTGCATTCTACTGAAAAACTAACTGCCCACTTTCTAACATGTAAAGAAGCATTTTCCTTAACAGTGACAACCTCCATACACATTATGATCGAAGATTAACACTCACATTTCACCCATCTGTCTCCCACCCCACTGGCCTCTGCCTTCTCTCAAACTGAAACAGTAATAAACATCAGAACCATTTAAAAAAACCTACAAATCTTCCCTTCTGTTCCTCCACTATTACACGTTTTGTGTAACATTTCTGGGAAGAAATGCTACGTTCCTTAACATTCTTTCACCTATATCATGAAACTAGACCTCAAAGTTTTAAACTATCGCTATGAAATGGAATGATACCCACTTTTACAGGGTGCCAGCTTCTATTGCATTCTACAATAAAATGAAGACTTTGCTTTCTAAAGCATGCTCATCCAAGTATCATGAAAAATGAACCACAGGTTCAAGGCAATGACCCAGCACTTGGGATGTTTTTTTTGACGTAAATACGTCTATACAAAAGGGGCATTCGGCAAAACAGCGTTAGGAAAATCTGTAGGATCCATATCAACCATGTGTAAATATGGACCGACAATGGTCAGCTTTCATATGAACTCCTGCATGCATTGTTACCTAAGAAACTAATTGTTATGTCATCTGTTTACTCAGCATTGTTGTGTTTTATTACTGCCGTCAACAATCCGCTTTCGTTATTGCGGAAAGAGCTGAGCTGTGAATCGCTAGTAGAAGAAGTGCGTCTTAGAGTAGATTATACAGTGAAACCTCTATCCATCGTTCCCCGAACTATCATTTTCCCGGATGCATCGTCCGTTTTGTTCGGTCCCGATACATCCCATATAAAATAATGTTACATTTTCCCGCTTCTATCGTTCAAAAATCTTAGTCCTGACCCAAAATTTTCCCGCAATGATCGCTTCTGAGAAATTATAACAAAATTCACGCGATGTTTTTAGAATTTAAAATGCTGGGTTTTGAGATAAATTTATACCTAAAGATGAACAATGTTTTTGGAATACACAGTAGCAGTAACCTGTTACGTCGCCCAACCAGCACAGATTCTTTTGGAATGAGGGGTCCGCGGTGCTTATTGTCAGAAATTTTATGAGTTTAATTAGGGTGCACTCATATTTCGTTCCAGCGATGCCAGATGGCATGTGCAGTGTGAATTTCTTCACAAATGCTTTTATCATAAGTACAAAGGAAAGGCGGGCGACACTTTTCATTCTTCTGGTTCATCTCGTTTCCAGTGGTTCAGTGGCACAGCTACGTTTCGTTGAGTTCGGCAGTAATAGTATTTCCATTCTTCCTGTTATTGTCCGCGAAGGGGGTGGGAGTGGTGAAGAAGAGGAAGACGATGAATGCGAGCCCGAAGCTGTGCCGGGTTTTGCCGAAGCACATGCTGCATTGGCAAAAGTGAAGTCGTTCTTTTATGCGCATAATATTAGTGAACGTGACGAGGAAAACATTTTGTACTGTTAAAAACGTTTTAGAATATTGCAATTACTTATCTTATATAAGAATTATTAAGAAATCTGTCATACTGCCCTCCACTCTCTCCATTTTAGTTTTGATTAAATTTGTCATTGCCTGTGGACATCGTGTTCTCTTACAATTGAACGAAGTCTGAGGTAAGGGATAAAGGCGCATCACACTTCACGCTACTGCTGCGTTCATGTGTTGTGTCATACTAAGTAGAGATAACAAGATGGATGGCATTGAAGCTAAATGAGTCCGATGATGATTATTTAAATACAAAGACGTATTTACGTCAGATTCTCCAGAACCATGGTTCCACTGTCAATTTTTTAATGAAGGGAGAGAAAGAAAACCTTGAAGCTGACTGTCTTTTGGGACGACGTGCTGCGTAGTCCGGTATAAATTTACCAATATTTCACAGATGCTCATGGCTATCAGTACACAGTGTAACATCCCAAAAGACAGTCAGCTTCAAAATTACTTGAAAACCTGATATATATTTAAAAAAACCCTTACACTTCCTGCTCAAAATTAAAACCGGGTACCTACCCATGTTCAGTCTACCCATTTTTGATTGGCAATAAATAAAAACACCAAATGATATTACACATCATGAACTAAATTGCTCTTCAACAGGTTTTGTATAAAAAGAACAGAAGACTGAAAAGTTTTAAAAAGGCATTTGTGAATTTAAAATCCTTCGACAGCATCGTGTCTCGACCAAGTGCCATCTAGAATAAGGAGATACATGCATATTTCTCAAAAGAAAGAAAGCAAAAGGTATTTGTATTATTGAAACTGGTGCACAAATTTTGTAGATCTGACAAACATTTCTTCAAGACTAGGGCAAAGGTTCAGTAACCAATCTTTCATCTCAGCACAATAGATTTAACTAAATATTCAGGAAGAGGTGGGGGGTCTTCCAATCACCCTTGCAGCGTTCAACCTAGATATTCAAATGCGACTGTTATGTCACTGTGCTGAAGCACCACATCACGGATGCATATTGGTGGCACAAACGCAAACTTCTTTGGGCCACGGCTTGGCACAAGACAAGTGGTCTGCTTCATGCTGCAAAAATTCATGGTCCAGAACATCACAATATTTACTTACTATGTGGGTTTCCCCATGTAGATACCAGGGGTGGGTGTATGAGCTCGCTGAGTAATAGAGAAATCCACACGAATTCTTCGACCATCTATCTCCATGCCTGTACATTGCTCCTTCGCTACTTTTGCATCCTCCGAGCTCTCAAAGTACACAAAAGAGAATCCCCTAGACCGACCAGTCTGGAAATAATGCGATATGATGGCAATAGTAACAGGAACAATTACAACTCTGTAGTAATAGTTTGCTCTCATAAAATTATATAATTTTCTTCCACGCCATGTTTTACTTACTCCTATATATAAAATGTTGTATGTATTGCAAGTAACATCTTGATTACATATGCGATTCAAAAATTTCATACATATAATAATGGTATGATATAACCCTTATAGAATTTTCTTCTACCATGATACAAATATAATACTGGAGTTAAAACAGGCTAACTCTGTGTTGTGTGCACTGATATACAAATGGATTAGACGATCTACTAACCTTGGCATCAATAACAACCTGGACTCTCTCAACGGGGCCATATTTGGACATGATATGATGTAACTGCTGTTCTGTAGTGTAAATACTCAGTCCAAATATTCCTAGGCAACGGCTTGGCTGAGGATTATCCTGAAATGAATACAAACAATTACATTTGCTATCAACACTTAAAACAAAGCTCATAATTTTCAAACTTATTAAAGACTTACCCTGCTCCCCACATGTCTGCGTCTAGAAGACATTGGGCTGCGTGAGTGACTGCGATAGAATTCCTTCCGCCTATCACTGTATCCATAATACTTCCCACGAGGGCTGTAGGAACGGGAGCGTGAATGGGAGTAACGGGACTTGTAACGCTTTGGTGACCGTGAACGGCTCCGCGACCTGTAGCGGCCACGGTAAGACATTCTTCTTGTACGAGAATGACTCCTGAAGTATGAAAATTTGGATTACCAAAATTGTTATTCAATTCTAAAGGGTTCTGATGATGGTGGATTACACAGAAAATTATTCGTAATCTGGACTTTTTCCATCGTAAAAGAAGAAACCACGACGTTTCGGAAAGACGATGGAAAAAGTAGAGATAGTGAATAACTTTAAGCAAAACTTTGTTTTTCAGTGCACACATCTCACAGAAACCCTACTAAGGAGCTATTCATAGTAAAAGAAATAATGAGCAGAAATATGAAAAAAACAGGTTTTTCCTATGATGAACACAACTACACTCATCTCAAATCCCAAGAAAACGAAAGGCATTTGCAATAATCATACCCACCACATGGTCCAACAAATACATTATACTTAAAACACTTCAATCTATTACCTGGAGCGTGAATATGATCTGCCTTTGTGATGAGACTTGTGTTGACTATCTGAATGAGATCGGCTTCGGCTGTGTTCCCTCGACTTTGCAGGAGAGGGCGTCTTATCATTGGCCGGAGGGCTGTGATTAGAACCACTATGACTTGGGCTATGCTACACAGACAATAGTGACGTACAAAATTATTATGGATACTGCATGACCTTGAATCGCTCTTTGGATAAATCACATTGGCATTTCCTTACATGCTACGCGCGACAAATATGAAAACCCATTAAAAAGCAATATCAATAACCCAGTTATCGATAAAATTTAAAACGTTTTCTTATTGATCGCCATCATAGCGTGGCTTCTTCCGAGCATAAACCTACACATTTAATACATGGTTAAGACTAAATACTAAATTAAATCAAAATTTTAAAACGCTGGATTATATCACTTTGTTGAATATACAGACCTCCCTGTCACTCATGCCTCGAAAGGTAGAACAAAAAACCGAAGCCTTTTACTCCGTACATATAACTCACTTTACTTCGCTTAAAATGGCGTCTTCCCACACGGCGAATTAGCAGGACAAAGCCTGGATGCCTCGACAATCCTGTACCGGAAGTAGAACTCACCACCTATGTCTGTTCCTATTGGGTAATATACCCACTGTAGATAATCTGCATTGGTTGGAACAAGGAATTCAACCAATAGTAATAAGGGAACCATGGAAGATGAAATATAAAATTTGTCCAGTTTATTTAATAAACTTTTGACTCCAAAAATTAATTTTACCCTTCTATTTCTTACAAATATTTATTTAAAAATCATTTAACATATAATGTGATGATATGTGACACAGGTACAAGAAGAGCGCCAACTGGCATGATGGCATCATGTTAGCCAACCATTGTATTTAGATAATCTGTGGAGAAGAATTACTTTCTTATTCTGTGACGTACAAGTGAGTCAATTGATGACGGAGCGAATCTAAATTTCTAGAAAAGATGGCTGGTGCTGTGTTGTTTGAAAGGGCTCGGGCAGTGTCGACAACAGATAGGGAAGAAGGAATTCATCTTTTGAATAAAATTGTACAAGAACAAGAAATTGCGGAGGACGATGAAGATAATATTCGACTTAAGGAACAAGGTATTCTCCAACTCGGTGAGTTATATAAAAAGGAGGGTAAAGCCAAAGAATTGGCTGATCTCATCAAGGCCACAAGACCCTTCCTCTCTCTTATAAGTAAAGCAAAAGCAGCAAAACTGGTGAGATCTCTAGTTGACTTTTTCCTGGACCTTGAGGCAGGGATTGGTATAGAGGTACAGTTATGTAAGGAATGTATAGAATGGGCAAAAGAAGAAAGAAGAACTTTCTTGCGCCAGTCACTTGAGGCTCGTCTGATTGCCCTGTATTTCGACACTGGGATGTTTTCAGAAGCTCTGGCACTTGGTTCAACACTGCTCAAGGAACTAAAAAAATTAGATGACAAAAATCTGTTAGTTGAAGTACAACTTTTAGAAAGCAAAACATATCATGCTTTGAGTAATCTCCCAAAGGCAAGAGCAGCCCTTACTTCTGCACGTACAACAGCGAATGCAATTTATTGCCCCCCAAAACTACAAGCAGCATTAGATCTTCAGTCTGGAATTCTACATGCAGCAGATGAAAAGGATTTTAAGACAGCATATTCATACTTTTATGAGGCATTTGAGGGGTATGACAGTGTTGAATGTCTGAAGGCATTAACAGCACTGAAGTACATGCTCTTGTCCAAAATAATGCTGAATAATCCCGAAGATGTCCAGCAGATTATCAGTGGAAAATTGGCTTTGAAGTATGCAGGGAACGAAATAGAAGCGATGAAGTCTGTAGCCCAAGCAAGTCACAAGAGGTCCCTAGCAGATTTTCAGCAAGCACTGAAGAACTACAAAGTTGAGTTAGAGGATGATGTCATTGTACGTGCACATCTTGGTACCCTTTATGACAACATGCTGGAGCAGAATCTCTGTAGAATAATTGAACCATATTCACGAGTTCAGGTTGACTACATCTCTCAGTCCATAAAGTTACCTACTCAGCAAGTTGAGAAGAAGTTATCACAGATGATTTTGGATAAGAAGTTCCATGGAATTCTGGATCAAGGTGAAGGTGTTCTGATTGTATTTGAGGAAAAACCTGTTGACAAGACATACGAGACAGCACTTGAGACAATCCATAGCATGGGAAAAGTTGTAGACACACTTTATCAGAAAGCAAAAAAACTTTCATAATCTACAATGCTTCCACCATGAACATTAAAAATTCTGCAACGTCCAGTTATTTCCATACATATGCATGTGACAGCTGCAGTGTAATAATAATAATTTCTTTGCATCTAAAGTATTTAATGCAGAAATATTTAAATTATTGAACATGTAGTTGCTATGCGATTTAACAATTTTTCCCCCCTAATGCTGTCCAGAGTGATTCATATTAATACTCTGTGTTGTGGCTGGACCAGATTGTATATTTATTTTCTAACAGGTATTTGTCAGTGATATGGTCTGAGTAATCCTAAATTAGGAGGGGGTTAACTATTTGCAGGTTCCAGTGCAAATTCTAATACATGTTGGTAGACATGCATGATGCATGTCTACCAACATATATGAATAATTTTTCATTTGTTTCTATGCAGTGTATTCTTTTAAAGACCTAATTTACACCCAAGAAGGAGTAATATTAATTTTTTTTAACTGATTCTGCTGTTAATTTTTTGTTTTCCAGTTCTGAAAGACCTGTAATTTAAAATCATTACTTTTGAATAAGCTTTTCTTCATGTATTTTGTATGTTACCCTGTGGTTTGATTAAATATTTTACTGTTCATATAAAGTTCTGTATTAATTCTGTGAATCTGTACTTCCTAAACTCTTGGCCAGATATTCATAATTATGTATGGTAATGCTTCAGATATCTGTAACAAAATACCTCCATAGCTACTAAATTTTTAGTAATATAACCACATTTTTGTTTGCAAACAAATTAATTTCTTAAGTTATACACTTATTGTACCTAAAGATCTAATTTCTTAAATTAAATAATCTGTTCAACCAGTATGTCAAATGTAGAAATGTTTTCCTTAGATCCTGATAATAAACAGGGTTATAAATAATTTTACTTTGTACTGTTGGATTAAAATGATCTTAAATAAAAAAAATGTATCTGTTGGATTGGTCTTTTTCCTTTTTCATACAGATCAATGAAAGTCAGGAGAGACTGGATTTAAATGGAACTTTGTAGGATTAAGTCATCTAGGGATTAACTTTAAGAAAAATGTATCATTAAATGTTACAGCAGTAAAATTTTGTAGTGCTCAAGCATCCATTGTGTAAAAACCATTAAAACTTTTACTGAACTGTTCACTTATTTTAAAACTTTCTATAGCTGCTGTTTTCAATCTATTTGGAAAAGAGTGGCTGGATGATTTTAAAATTCTGGTGTACAGTTATCATATTTAATGAATAATAGAAATCAAAGTAGGCTTTCACCTACATTGTTTAAAAAAGTAAAACATGGCAAAATTATTTTGAACGGAGAAACCGCCATGGATATGGACACAGTCATGACCTATTTTAGGCACTATCTGAGCATTTGTGAGGCTGGGAATACATTAACCTGCAATATTTAGTGGTAGCAGACATATTAAATATTTAATGCCTTTAAAATTAAAGCTGTAGATCTGAAAGTGTGCTTGGGATGTGGGAGATTCTCGGAACATCAAAAAACTTTTACCAAGTTACAGAAATTCAAGACGCCTCATAGCAATAGTTGACAGCCTATACAAATGGTACTGCTATCAGTGATTTTAATGTAAAATACATTTATTATGCAAATATATTTGTAGTAATAACAACATTGCAGATTATACCCCATTTTCTGCACAAATACAAAATATGCATACACATACAGTCGACCTTACATAAGCTGCTGAACTATTCATAATCTTTTTGGCTGTGACGGAGGCAGTATGTTCCTCTGAAACGTTGGCCGAAATAATACATTGCACAACGCAGAAAATCACAATCTACATTTGTACTTCCAACCAAAATTCTTACAAACCTATTACACTTAAAAAAAAATTACCTGTGTATTGAGAATGGCATTTTTGTTCTTTAGAGAGTATATTTCCATTATTGGAGCAGTATTTATGACAATGTACTGGTAGAAATTATGTTCCTCGAAGCTGGGCTAGTAGTGCTTCATTATGACGGCACTCGATGGTTAGCTGCCTCACGGCAGCTACGTACCGACGCTGCTGCTCTACCAGACCTAACAGCTGCTGACTTAACTTGTCCCGACGCTGACGTTCCTCACTGCGTCTACATTCCACCTTTAAGAAGCCATTGCAACAATGCTTTAAGCCATGATTACAAGTAGAATAAAATTATTTTAATATGGCATTAAATGGAACAGTGGATAATTTATTAACAGAGGAAGCTTCTTACAAGTTAAATAATAGCATATTGCAAGCGGATATTTCATAACACGTGTAACATACTTATTTTGAGGATTGTAATCCACTGGTATTGGTATCCACAGATAATTTTAGCCTTATACTTACCTTTACTTTGTTTTGCTTGATGCCCTCAACAATGGCGTCAAACTGCTTCATAAACTGCTCTTTACCACTTGTTGAAGACATGGCCCTTCAAAACAAACAATACCATAATTCTGAACAAATTACTGTAGAGCTATACATATAGGCATGAAACATGTACAATATGAGTTCTAGCTTTTATTTGTTAAAACTTTTAAAATTTAATGGATGATGACTGAGAAGTCTTGCTATCCACATCAGTACCATAACATAAATATGCAAGTATTTTTACATTGTTTGGTTCCAAATAAACTGACAATATGAACTGCTTGATTTTAAATTGAGAGTTGTGAACAAACATGGCGGTACAAAGCTGCAACTGAAACCATGTTCCTAGAAAAGATAAAAAACTTTACAAAGACATGAAGACAAAGCAAATGTTTCTGATGTTCGCTGTGTCAGATATACAAATAAATATGTTTCACCCGTTGCATATCAGAAATTCCAAAAAAGAACATGGACTTCCATGCTTTTCCCCAATGCTTTCATTGGAGTAATCACGACTTAAGAACGGTATACAAATTACGGAAAGGTTAGATGTTTAATAAAAGTTTTAGTGACCAATAAGAAAAAACTGAATAACAATTTAGTTAAAATCTCCTCTGCAGCACTTTTTGACCTTTCTTTCATGGTTCTCCTCAGTTTTTGAAGCAGGCCAGGGCTTTTAATTTTACTCTTAATAATCATCCAGCCATTGTTAAATGACCTACATACCAACTGAAAACAGGACTGATAAAAGAAAACCAAGCTTTGCATTATATGCCATGTAACATTTTGGCTACCTGAGAACGTAAAATTATAAGAATCATTGTAGGACGTGAAGCTTATTACCAAGGCAATAACGCAGCAACACTTACTCTGTGTAGTTGTCCAAGATGGAGTTCAGCAAAGTTAATTCTTTGCTTAAATATAACTTCTTATCGTCTAATGTGTTATACAAAGTATAAAACTGTTTTGTCTCCTTGTGTTTGGCTGCCACTGTAAAATAAAAATGACAGAATAAAGGAGAAAACTGTTATAAGTAACGTGTTAAATAACTTAGCAAACATATCTCAGTCAATATAATTTCTAGGGTATGGGCTGGACAAATGATTTTGTCAGGGCAAGATTTGTCCCTTTGTCTAGGCTGGTGTTGGTGCCCACCCAGATCGAATGGATACCGCATTCTTTCCTCAGAGGTAAAGCAGCCAGGTCATGACGCTAACCACTCATACCCATCAAGTGTCACACTTAAGAAAGCATGAACCTAGACCTCCACTCCCCCATATGTCTACAAAACACGCTGAATGGTCCCATGCAAAGTGTTAAGTGAATCTGTACAGAGTTTGAGAGGAACATACTGAAAGCAATATCAGGATTGTAATATTAACAGTTTACATGGATGGTAACACAATTACATCAGAATAATGTCTAATTCACAAGTGAGATTAACTTTCATCATAAAGAATGGTTGACTTAAAACCCTGGATTACGGGACTGCCAGCCAGACTTCAACTCTGGGGTCGATGGTTTGAAGTATGCCACAGTGACGTACGGCCAACTGGACTGTACATATACTGTGATGCATAGCTGAAGAAGGTTAACACTATGATAATTATTATCAAGGGTTACGTGTAAGTTAGCACCTACCCTGATTATAAAGTTCTAAAAATCGGCGTTGATACTGTGCCAGTTCGGCACGTCCCGGCACCTCATCCAACTGTCTCTGCAGTGCGGCAATGGATCGGGTACGTTTAGCCAAGAGAAGACGGAGTTTTTGAACACGTTCTCGCTCCTCTTCAAACTGCAATGTCACCTGATCACTGTCATTATCTGGGGTGGCACTTTCCTCTGCATCTCTACAGTAGTTCCCAGAAACAACAAGTATTTAGATGGGACTATACACTACTATATTAAAATACATAACTAAAATTATACTGGTGACTATTCAAAGAAAACTATGTGGAAATATTTTTATCAGTTTGCAAAACTTTACAGTAAAATACAAACATTTAAATGGAATAACACGCTGAAAAGAAATCAACTTATAGGAGAATGAAGCAATGAGGATTTGGAAACTGCCACATGAGTGACCAAGACTGTCTGATGCAATGTATTTTCTGAACACACGACCAAAAAGCTTTTATATGACATCAAATTTAATCTGATAAACACGGCACTTGTGAAGATACTTCATAAAATATGTACTAATTTAGCAATTTTATGGTAGCTCTTACTTGTTTGTAATTTACTAGACACAACTTGAGCTAGAAACTAGAAAAACGTTGAACTTAATACAGAGATTATGATATGCTCATGCTGAATAAACTCATTGAACAATGCTGCCAGGAACTAGCAAACTTCTTTTTAAATTTTGAGAGCAGCAAAATCTTTATTAAAAGAAATTCTTGCAACATTCTACAAGTGTCTCATACTGCTAACAGACTGATGGTAGTAATACATTCATAGGAGATACTTTCATATGATGAACAATAATATACGCTACAACAGCGGTTACTTACTTGACCATTTTCTGCAGGTTTCTGAGTTCCAATTTACATTGCTCTCTGAACTCAATAGCCTGTTGCTTTAGGCTCTCATTCAGTATTACAAGCGACTGTAATTTCTGCAATATCCTAAGTAAAAGAAATACAAATTCATACTTCTGTTTAAAACCGATGGCTTTAAGTTGATAAAATTAGTATGCAAGTTAAATTAAAAAAGTCTGATAACAGAAAACTTTAACTGGTTTTCCAGTAAAAAGGATTCACTTGGTTTAATAAATAAGCTGAATGAGAAAGACAATTCAGCATGTAACAGCATTTTACATGATGTAGATACATACATTATCACAATGTTCTGGTTTTGTGAATATCTGTGTAAAATCAGTAACTGAAGTACAAATGCGTAAATTTTATAAATATCTTATGGCATATTGATAATTCTATAATTAAGCAATTCGGGTATAAAATAAAATTAAAAACAAGATAGAGTATACCACAGACTCTGAAATGCTCTGCTTGGTCAGTTTGCAGTAAGCTAATCTTAGATATTGTTGCATAATTATTTATTTCTGTTAAACTGAAAATAATAACCTGAAATGTACTCACAACTCTAATGAAGAGTTAACAACCACATTATTCTAACATAACAATTAACTTTATCTACAGTGTTTGTGATGAACTATCATTTCAGAAATTGTCAACACCATTTCCCAATAAATATCATTCACTGCCATATGTAAAAAATTATATCTGGTCGTCACACACCCTTTATTTTCCTCAGTCTCCAATGACTCCATGTATTTAAGTGCCTTATCCACTTTTTCATGAGCCTCCTGTGCCTGCTGCAACAACAAGGATTCCTCTTCAACTGCCGTCTCCAAACGTGTTTTCTCTTTCATCAGCTTCAACTCTTTAACTCCGAGAACTGCCTTCTGCTTCTCTATGGTTACTAGGGCTCTTGTTTGACTAGAGGCAGAAGCCGCAAACTTTTCCTGTTAAGTAATACCAAATACTAACATACAATGCACAAACACTATTTTACAAACTATAAACATGTAACAAATCAAACATAACAAACAAAATTAAAATGCATATTACACAACAATTACTATAAAACATTACAAACAAATACCATACGAACTACACACAACGAATTACAACCACATCACCAAAACATTACATGTTACCACCACACACACACACAAAAAAAAAACGGACTTACAAGAAGTCACAGACATTCACGACATTAATGGCATACAACAAACTACCGATAAATAACATAACAAACACGTAACACAAAAATATACACCCTATTCAATATACAGTATAGACATATTATATATTAGAGACAATTAACAAATTACGGACATATAAAACGTCAGACGTACACAACCTATAACACACAACAGATATACTACTCAATAGTGTCGACATGTTATACAAAAGACAAGAAATAAATGACGGACGTATAAGACGTCAGACGTACACGACCTATAACACAGAACAGATAAACTATTCAATAGTGTCGACATGTTATACATTAGACAAGAAACAAATATCGGATGTTTAAGACGTCAGACGTACACGACCTATAACACACAAAAGATATACTATTCAATAGTGTCAACATGTTATACTTTAGACAAGAAACAAATGATGGACGTATAAGACGTCAGACGTACACTTTCTATAACACACAGCAGATATACTGCTCAGTAGTGTCGACATGTTATACATTAGACGAGAAACAAATGATGGACGTATAAGACGTCAGACGTACACGACCTATAACACAAGATACTACTCTTGACACAATATAGACATGTTACATATTACCAGCATGTTATACATTACATTACAATAATCCTAGTTTGTACAACTATCTACATGAAGCTGCTAGGCGGGCGTATAGTCGTGAAACTTTAAACAAATGTCCATTACTATTTTGACAAGAGCCTCCCACTGTCATTTGTTCTGAGCCACATTGATTCAGTTGATATCTTATTTTCTTGAGACACATCATCGTATTATCCTTCCAGATATAACATTTTGTAAACTCCCGCTATATATACTTCTCATCTCATCTCATCTCTGCTCTGCGTATGTCGTTAAAATATCGGCCTGGGAAATGTCTACCTTGCCATCTTAGATTTCAAGTAAACACCCCCCCCCCCCCATTAAGTAGGGATTATACGATTGTCAGAAACCAAAATTGAATATCTTATAATTTTTAGCATATCCCATCCCACCCCCCAAACGTCATCAAAACCCACTGAGTAGTTGTTTCAAAGATGTCGACAAGAGGCAGATGAACACGAAATTCCCATTGTATCTTAATTTGTGTACTCTGGAAAAGCTGTCCCATTATATGCCATGTTTGCACTTGGTGGAAGAGGCGGTATACCTCCTACTCATTCTTGACCTTGGCTCAAGATGGGTTGAGTGATCAGCATTATGACCCGACTGCACTTTACCCATTACATAGGGGACTGGGTGGGCTCCAGAACCGGTCTGGATGCAGAGGTTAGAGGAAATATCCTCTGCCCATCGGGGATCAAACCCCGGTCGTCCAGTCTGAATCCAGTCACTATACTGACTGAGCTACGCATGGAAATAGAATGTATAATAAAAACTGTCACTTTATAATGTGTCTTTACTCTGATTTTGGAAGCGTTTTTCTGACAAGTTAATCTGTCTTTTTTGTTAGTCCTATGCATGTTTCAACACGGATCCATTATCTTTACCTTTTACCAAAAAGAAAAACTGTACTTCTAGTCCCCTAATAGTTCAAAGAAGCAGATACAATTTGTAACACACTATTTACACAGAGCCAAGTTAATACTAAAGCCTACCTCAGATTGCAATTCCGCATACCGCTCAGCAGCTCGTGCAATTTCTTGTGCTTGTAAGTTGACTATATTACCAACAACACCTGCAGTCAGACGACCCTGAGAAGAGCACATCCACCATGAGAAACTGATCAGTTTACTTTTATACATATATTATATATAAGTTCCACACAAGCAATCCTGATCCTTGCATACCTGGTATGTAAGGATTAGGAAGGTGGTGGTCCTATATCAGAAGGTAATTTACATGAAGACTTCACCAACCGGAACAGTCATATCCTTAACCTTGTCTAAATACATGTGTAAGAAGATAAAAGTTCCTGCTCATGCTTAATTAAGCACTACACCTTGTAGACATGGAGGAATAGCTCCACAGATTCTTAACCCTGGCACTAGATATACCCATCTCCATCTTGTAGCATAAAATGAAAATGTATACGCTACATCGAACCCCGGTCTTCCAGTCTGTAGCCAGTCACTATACAGGCTGAGCTACCAAAGTATAATCAAAATTCTGTTTAAAATTACTGACAACTTAGAAATACGCTATGAACATCATGTAATGGATACAAAATTTGTGCTTTTATTTCATGCATTCATGCAGCTTGTGCTTTCATAAGGATGGTCTATATTCAGAAAGTGTGAGAAAGTTAAAGAACGTGAAAATTTGAATATATTATTGTAGGTCATCAATTTGTCAGTATTTATTTGATTGGCAGTTGGGAGAAATGTATAAATGAATCACAAAAGTAAGCAAAGCATGCTAAAGTCTAAAATTCTGTACAGTAATTTAATGTAGACAAGAGTGCAATGTCAACAATTACTTAACGGAAACCGCAAAACAAAGTGACAGGCATATACTACACAGAAAAGTCAAACAAATCAATCACGCAAAAGACGTCCAAAGCGGCTTTTAACAACATACTGAGTAGAAGACAGCAACGTATGACATGAGGGACCCCCTTACTCAGCCGACAGCTATGTGATGAGGGCATTTAAATCTCCTATTACCATATGATAAAGTCTGAGGTTGAAGGCGATTCAAATTTTTTATACATTCATCACCACAAGCCACATGCCTCATTCTCATCAATTTGATTTCCCAGGCAGTACTTCGTAAAGAATAATAACTATAAAGGAAAACTCGGGAATATTATACCTCCTGTTCTCCAACATGTGCCATGTTCTTCATCAGGGTCTCTATTCGTTGCTGTGAAACATGCACGAAACAGTGATTACTGTTACTGAAACATAAATCTAATCAACACATTTCTAAAAGCAGCAAAAACAAAATCAAAACATATTAGAGAATTAAAAACAAGCTATGTTCATGAACACCACAACATTCACAAATTTCACTTCTTAATTGGTTACCTCCTCCAGCCTTTGAGTCTCCTGTACATCTGCTGACATCTGTTGATTATTCTCCTCATTTGTCCCTCCCTAAAATCACACACAAAATATCTCTCATATTCAAGAAATTCCTTGCATTTTATGAAGCCTGATGGAAAGTTCATTACTGTTTATAAGAGCCTACATCCAGTCCCTATTCTCCGCCAGATGAATCCACTGCACACCCTCAAGAACCATTTTATCTAGGAACCCATAATAAGCACATTTTCATTGATATAAAGTAGTGAAACAGAACTTCAGATCTTAGACGTGTGGTTGCTGCAGCAGTGAAAAAGTTGAATGTACCAACCAAAACCACATAAAGCTTAATGGATGGTAGAGTTTTTCTCCTAGTTTTGAACTTCTTCTTCTTCTTCTTCTTAGACCCATCTCTCCTACGTAAAGCATAGGGGCGTAAATCTGACATGGAACTGCCTGCTTTACTTCCCCTCCGATGGAAGTCGTGCTATGGATTTTCGTCACCCTTAAAAATCCACCAAACTCGGCCGGGTTTGAACCCGCAAACCTTGGATCCAGTGTCAAGCACGCTACCACTAGACCACCGAGGGCGACCAGTTATGAACTGGACACAAACAACGAATAAGTTACTGAATATAATGAAAATTTGATAATTCAGTTTAAAAAGTTCAAAATGAAATAGATAACGAATTGTGTGTATGTAAGTCCACTATACTCAACATACAACACAAGCTCCTATTTCATATGAAATATAACACAAGAGAAAAACAAAAGAAAATACATCCCACAATCAGATTTCACAAAATGAACAACATAAAACTATACAGAATATTTTGTTCCAGTTCTCGAACCACGAAGTAATGCGCAACTCACAGATTCTG